TAAAAAAATCTCATCATATTCCGTCCTTTTTATCTTTTAAATTCAAAATGCGTGGTAATGCATTATTTTAACTGATTTTACTACGCACGCACACATTCGTAAGGGTCGTTCGGTAGGTAAAAACGTTGTTGCCCATGACTCACATTCAATTTCGGATAATTTCAAATAGAAGTAGAAGCCTTATTTACTCGTATTTTGAAAACTACAATAACGGTATATCATTATTTCTATATTTGACATTTTTAAATTATTTCCCTACTATTTCATAGACACGTACTTACTTATCTTCACGCACAATCCCTGACGGGGTAGCCAGAGAGAACAGATCGCCAAGTGTCACGATCCTTACAAACCTCTTTCGCTTAGGGTTAGGGTTAGGGCGTCCCCCCAAGGCGACGCACACCAGCTCGTCCCCGTTGGTGTAGAATGCAGCGTGCAAAGCGGCGATGGGGACCGCCACCCGTCACGCACAGCCCGACACGGCGGAAGGTGGAGGACAGAGTGCAGAGTTGGCACGTGGAATGATAGACACGTAGATTTTTCATTTATATGAAAAAAAATCAGTTATAGTAATTTTTTAATTTAATCAACTATGTTTATAAATATTACTTTTTATAATTAAATCTCGATTTTTCCAGATGTTTACAATGCGAGGAGAGCTTTCGCTTACAAACTGAGCTGCGACTACACGTATCACAACATTATATATCTGTGTCTCAAAATACAGATAAAGAAACATTCCTGGAGAATTGCAAGAATAACGTACCCCAGAAAGAACCTACTAAAGAGGAGGCTCAATTAAGTGATTTTGTTGATAGAAGTTAAGTTGGATATAATATTAAATACTATTCATATTAAGAAAAGGAATAGAATAACTTAAGGCAGTGGTTACATGTTAAGAATAATGAGCTCTCGGTTGTATATTTAGGAATATTTGTTCAAATCTGAACTGACATGTCAGCAGACGGACGGTAGTAGCTCATCAGAGCTACGACCGTCCGTTCTTGAGCTGAATGTCCATACAAAAATACTATATCTAATTTTCACAGTCTGGTGATGGGAAAGAAGATATTGGATATTATTTCTTTTCCATGGAGAAATCCTCATGGTTACAGTTCGTTGCTTTCGCAAGTTATTAAAACGTCTAATGGCAAGAATTCCATGGTGATCACCACCAATGTAGACAAGGGGTTCCATGATCTCCGTTCGGAACACTTGAAATTTATTTATTTTTAGCTGACTTCTTAAAAGGGAGATGATTCTCAATTCGTCGGAATATTTATTTTTTATGTTGCACTCCTAGATCTAAACAGCGATTAACTAAAAAAACCCACATTTTACAGAAAAGGTAAAAACTAATTAATTTATCCCTGTGCACTGCAGGAGTTTTCTGTATTGATCAATTCTTTTTAAATGCAGATAGAAGAAAGATGTTTATAGAAATCTTTTGTTTTAATCGTATATTGGGGCTGAAAATTGGATTTTTGTATTTATTTCCATGTTGCTTAACAAATGTACATATATTTTTTTGTTATTAGAAGTTGAACCTGTGTTGGTGAATTTAGTTTTTAGTTGACACTCTTTTGAAGAGTCAGTGTGTAACAGCATTTTAAGTTTATTTAAAATAATCCAACTCATAGAGAGGTCTGTGACCTACTGTGTACATTGGCTGATGAATTAGCAAGAAAATACACATAATATATAATAATATGACATAAAAGAAACTCTTTACGTAAATAAGTTTTACGTACCTTAAATATGTACTTGAAATCATCATCATTCATCATTACAGCCCTTCACAAGTCCACTGCTGAACATAGGCCTCCCCCAAAGAATGCCACAAAGCACGGTCCTGAGCCACCTGCATCCATCGACTTCCTGCATGTCTTACCAGGTCGTCACTCCATCTCGTGGGGGGACGCCCTACACTTCGCCTACCGGTACGAGGCTGCCACTCGAGAACCTTTCTTCCCCATCGGTTGTCGGTTCTTCGAGCTATATGGCCGGCCCACTGCCACTTCAGCTTACTAATCCGTTGGGCTATGTCGGTTACTCTGGTTCTACTGCGGATATCCTCATTCCTAAGTTTATCACGCAGAGAAACTCCGAGCATAGCCCTCTCCATAGCTCGCTGAGCGACCTTGAGCTTCCTCATACGGCCAGCAGTGAAGGACCACGTCTCAGTTCCATAAGTCATCACTGGCAACACGCACTGGTTGTACAATTTCGTTTTCAGGTTTTGAGGTATGTCTGACGAGAAGATGTGTCGTAGCTTCCCGAACGCTGCCCAGCCGAGTTGAATCCGTCGATTGACCTCTCGGTCGAAGTTGGACTTACCTAGTCGGACTATTTGTCCCAGGTAAACATACTCGTCAACAACTTGGAGCTTAGTGCTCCCAACAACTACCGGCATAGGTGTGACATGGACATTGAACATGATCTTTGTTTTGTCCATGTTCATCTTAAGACCTATCCGTTGGGAAACACTATCGAGATCATTGAGCATAGTGCTTAGGTCCTGCAGCGATTCTGCCATAAGGACTATATCGTCGGCAAATCGAAGGTGAGTGATGTACTCGCCATTGATGTTGATACCGTATCCTTTCCAGTCCAGAAGCTTGAAAACGTCTTCCAATGCAGCGGTGAAGAGTTTCGGGGATATGACGTCACCCTGTCTTACACCTCTCTGCAATTGGATAGGTTTCGTACTCTGGTTCTGTACTCGGATAGCCATCGTAGCCCTACTGTACAAGCACTTCAACACTTCGATATACCGACAGTCAACTTGGCACCGCTGAAGGGACTGCAGCACCGCCCAAATTTCGACGGAATCAAAGGCTTTCTCATAGTCCACATACACAAGGCAAAGTGGTAGATTGTACTCTTCGGTCTTCTGTATAATTTGCCGAAGGGTATGTATGTGGTCTATGGTGCTAAAGCCCTTTCGGAAACCGGCTTGTTCGGGAGACTGGAAGTCGTCAAGTCTGCGCGCGAGACGATTCATAATGACTCTCGAAAACAGTACGTAGACGCGGCTCAGAAGGGAAATCGGTCTGTAGTTCTTCAAGAGAGCGTTGTCACCTTTCTTGAAGAACAAGACCACCGCACTTCTGCTCCACGCCTCCGGTGTAATGCCACCATGGAGGACGGAATTAAAGAGCTTCTGAAGGACTTCAAGTACCGGTCTTCCACCCGCTTTCAGAAGCTCCGCTGTAATTCCATCCTCGCCTGGGGCCTTACCGTTTTTAAGGTGCTGGAGAGCCATTCTAATCTCGCTCAGACTGACGTCCGGGATATCTTCGGAATAGTGTCGGATGAGACTCGCTCTTGGATCGTTACTCACACTTGCGTGTGGCTCCAACGATGACGTGTACAGCTGCCCATAGAACCTCTCAATCTCACTCAAAATCTCAGGTGTCCCGGAAACGATGCTGCCACATCCTGTCTTCAGCTTTGACAGGTGGCTCTTTCTGGCAGACAGATCTCTGGCAAAGACTTTGGAGCCTTGGTTCCGCTCGATCGCTTCTTCAATACGAGCTGTATTGAAGTTGCGTAAGTCCCGCCGCGTGCATTTGGAGATCTGTCTGTTCAGATGCCTGTATGCTGTCAAGTCTGTTGAAGAATGTAGCTTCATCTCCCGTCTAACAGCCATGAGATTAAGAGTGTGATCGGAGAGTTTTTGTGTTCTTCTGCGGCGGGTCTTGCAGAACTTAGCTCCGACCGCATGGACAGTTTCCACGAGCTTGTCATTCATATCGTCCACTTCATTGCAGTCTTCTAGGCACTGAAAACGGTTTTGTAACTCGAGCTGAAAGGTTTCGGGACTTTGGAACAGAGCACGAGGGGGACGGAGCGTTGACTTCATTAGACGAGACCTCTCCAACTTAACGTTTAGGTTCAGTGTGCCTCTAACCATTCGGTGATCGCTACCAGTTTTCACCCTCGCGATCACGGAGACATCACTGAAAGTTGTCGTCTGATCGTCGTAATGAAGTCAATCTCATTTTTTGTGGAACCGTCGGGGCTCGACCAGGTCCACTTCCTGTGGGGCCGCTTCTGGAAGAAAGAGTTCATCATAAAGAGTCCCTCTTTCTCCATGAAGTCGGCCAGCTGCTGGCCCCTTGGGTTCCGTTGCCCTATTCCAAATTTCCCTACTTTCAGCTCACCGTTCTCTCTTGTGCCTAGTTTTGCATTGAAGTCTCCCATTAACACCGTATATTGGGTTTTGGAGGAATGCATGGCTCTAGAGATATCCTCATACATTTCCTCCACCTCCCCATCGGGGTGTGCCGAGGTTGGTGCGTAAACCTGTATGACCTTCAGCGAATACCGTTTGGTGATTCTGAGTATAAGGTACGCAACCCTCGTCGACACACTCCCGATATTTACAACGTTGTTAACGAGAGACTTGTGGACGATAAATCCGACACCTCCTTGGGACAGATGGTCGCCCTCCCGGTGATAGAGCAAGTTGCCGGATTCGAGGATTACCGTGTCCTCCCCCTCTCTTCGGACTTCGGATAATCCTATAATATGCCAGCGCAACTTGTCTATCTCTTCTTCCAGCTCCACGATCTTCTCGTCAGTCCTCAGGGTGCGTGCGTTGTACGTTGCCAGGTCGAGTCGTCTAAGGTGGCAACCGAACCTCCACCGGAGATTCTTAGCACCCCCTGCCCCGCCGTTACCATGGTCGCCACCGTAGCCAGGAATAGCGGGGCCGCCGGGGACTGGGGGCCGTCTCTTGTCTACTTGAAATAAAACTATGAAAAATTAATTAAGTATGACTTTTCTCTATTAATAGATATTAATAAGGCCATTGTTACAAAACGAAACTCAGGACTCGGTTAAAATTCGAGAGCAGTTTTAATACTGTGTACGAATTCTGAAATAAAACCAAGGGCCTCGCCAGCCAATGGTCCGGAGGAATGGAGCAGAGGCGGCAAGTATAGAGGATGGGAAAAGTGTAGGTAGTCAAAAACACATAAAGCTTTACACTCGTATTAATTAAAACAATCTTCGGGATTTTTTTTTTTTGTAAACTTCTCGACCACTTTATTATGTAAATCTTTTAAGTTTTCAATAATAAATCATGGCCAGACCATTGAGGCTAGTGCTTCTTAACCAGGTATTTGTCTCCTGAGGCTGCAGAACGACCGCTCTATCGTACAAGTTGTGCACGGTAGAGCGATCAAAATTTTCAACGTTTTTCCCGTTTCGCGAAAGAAGGTTTTAACCTCGTTTAGGACATCAACAACGGTTATATTGTTTATTATTAGGGGAAGGTCGGGTAAAGTGGCCACCCTAAAGCTTGAATGACTGCCTATTAGATAAATATCAATTTTTTTACGTTAATTTATTACTGTATTCTCTCAAACTCAAGGGCGGATCCAGCTTTGGCGCCAGGAGGGGGTCACATGGTCGTGGTCAAGTCAAGAACTTATAATTTAATTTTGATAACAATAGATACAAGTAAAAAGTAGGTATTTTATTAATGTACGTAAGTACTGTACTTAAAAATATTTATTCTTTATTGTACACTTGAAACACTTAACACATAATAACTTGTACATATACACGTACACATTGCCATCTTCTCTTGAAGACATCCAGAGAAGCACTATCACGCACGGAATTAGGCAACCTATTTATATTCCATAACCGTGGTGAATGATTTGTCATAACAGCTAGAGGTATGTCGAGGGGTATGACGCAAACCTCCGCAAAAGTGAAGAGGTGGTACGACAAGGGTTTCCAAGAACCAAAATAGAAACAGACAAAATACATATATTTAAATAACAAAATAAATTTTTCTTTTACGTCTTCTCCCGAAACGCGTTATTACGTCATTTACGTCATTGGGTACGTTTTTAGGAACGTGGAGAAGTGCCAGTCCGGTTAGGCGATCTTCAACCATTGAAGATCTTAACCACGATTTAACACGATGTCACAATTTAAAATAAGATCAGAAATCGACTGCGGTATGTCCTGGCTCCGCATTTACAATGACAGAAACTGGAGTGTTATTTAGTAATAATGTATAGTCAGTAGCTAGTTGTTTCACAGTTTCAATGTCTTCATTACTATATTCGCTTATTGGCATGAAAACGCTTAGCTGAAACAAATTAAGTACATCAGGAGACAGACGGTCCTGGAGATCACTTATTATTGAATCTAGAAGAGGGATGTATATAGCTCTGCGGAAATACTCTTCAGCAGATTGAGCAGGTTGGTTATTGGCCCTATGTATTTGTTTTGATACTATTCTGGGGCATTTAATTTCTACATCTAGCTGCTCAGCTACTTCTTTAGCCTCTTCAAAAAGCTGTCGGTAGATTACGTCCACATTTTCTGTTTTATTTTGTAAATCACTTAAAGTATCATTAATAGCGTCCGTAGCTTTTTTTAAATCAATTGAGTTCGATTGCAGTATTCTGCTTAAAAATAAAAAGTGACTGTGACTGTAGTGCATAAACTAAGAGTTTATAACTTTATATATATAACGCAATACTTTGCATCGAAGTTTTCGCTAGGTGCTTTTAAAAATTTGGTTGCTCTCTTATTTTATTTTCAAAGAGCATTAAAATCAGTGTGGTCACGACGATACACTTGATTTCATTGTGTGAATTTATCTAATATTTTAGGTTAGGTCAGTAAGCTTAATGCTCTTCAATCTCCCTCGTCCAAAAAAAAAATATCTACCTATAGGTAGGTACATAAGTCACGCAGCAATCTTTCAGTAAGTAGGTACCTACATATCTACCTATAAGGTACTTTATGAACATTAACAACAATAACATTTAAGTTAAAACACACGCACTGGAATAATGAGAAACTAATTACTTACCATTTCTTGTAATTAATGAATTTGCAGCAACAATTTTTAAGAATACTTATAAAGTACACTTACAAACACATTATAGGTAGAAAGAAATTTTACTTTTGTAACTTAGTTACTATGTTATGATATGTTGAAGTTTAGTCGTTTCGATTCCGATTGAGGTTAGGTCTAGCTAGACGTTACGTAGTCGACAAGCGCGCAAGTGTGGCGCGGTAAAATTCAAATTTTCGATGCGTTCGTTCCCAAACGTTTGCAATCATACAAAGTTATTATATTATATTACATTAATTGAAGGTATGTAGTTACATAAAGTCTGTATGGTGACAAAATTTATAAATAAAATCATTTTGTTAAATTAGTGGTCCACCTAAGTCCTGGAAGCAGCTCAGGGGGGGGGGGGGGTCATGACCCCCATGACCCCGCCCCCTGGATCCGCCGTTGCTCAAACTAATGTAGTTTTGATATCACATTCATATTTTGACCTATATCAAGACATTTTATAGTATTTTTAAGTTCAAAGCTGAAATTGGAAATTGACCACTACCTACCCAGGTTGGGTAAAGTGGCCTACATAAACCCACAAAGCGTTTGACATAGCCTCAATAAAATGAAATTATTCTTAGATTAATTCAAGTTTTATTTAATACTTGTTCACAGGCCCCATGAAAGACACATCCAGTGGTTGAAGTCTGCAACAGTATGGGGCAAACATAACACGGTCGTGTGGTGTCTTCTTGCCAATTCAATAAAATCTAAATTTTTTGTATGTGTGTTATGTCCATCTAGAATCAGGAGAGCTGGATCTTCTTTAGTCAGCTTGGCCAATTTCAAACAAAATGCTTAAATCAATCCGTAAAAATGTCCAATCGCATCCACCCCTACGAATGACAAGCAAATCATGTACCCGGCGGTGCACCACCTTCATTCTCTTTCGAGGAAAATAATAAAAGAGGGAATATAATTTCCACCAGCAGCCATACAAATCACGACGGTGCCTCTTTAGCACCCACCTGCTTCTTTCCCTTTTGTGCAAGTATTTTAGAGCTTTTGCTCTGCACTGTGATATAGCCAGTCTCGAAAATACGATGAGGATCCACCTCTTGGCTTTTCCAGCCATTTGACTTGAGTATCTTTATTAAAATTGTGTTTTATATTATTGCGTTCAGCCAACTGATAGGCCAGTCTCCTTACACCCTGCAAAGTTAATCCATAAAATCGCTTTTCCATTTCTAAAATGTGTTGCACCAATTCTTCTTCTTGCTCTGGACTAAAAATTGGACGGCTAGACCCCAATACTTTAATATTTTCAACAGCTTCTTTATTTATTCCTTTTAAACGTTATTTGAGCGTCGACCGAGGAACTTTGAATTCATTGCTAGTCTTAAGGAAGCCCATTTCTTCGTTTCTTACAACTCTTATAGCTTTTTCCATCGCAACCGGGTCGCATATCTGCCGCTGCGACGTCCGTTTATATGTATTTGGCATATCTAAAACAATACAAAATATTATTTATATTCACAGGAAAAATTAAAACTAAGACGGGTAAAGTGACCTACTATGTCACTTTACCTACTACAGACTAGGCCACTTTACCCGAAACGAAGCGCGACGATAAAAAAACAACTCAAATTTCAAATGAGGTTATATTGTCGTCCTTTACTGTGAAATAAACAGTTCATTAGAGGGATTAACTGATAAAATATTACATTGCTGTTTATTTCTATTGAACAGAGTAAATTATTACAATTTTTTAACCACTTACCTTAGATCAGAGACCACAAAAACCAACTTTTTTGTCATAAAATCTGTCCGCGTGAACTAATCGCGTCGGTATTTACTGGAGCAGTATAGTGTCGGTCAATGAATAATTTCCATAGGCCATGGACAACTGGCGCTACTTGGTTGGTTTTTAAAAAGAAGGTGGCCACTTTACCCGCCTGGGCCACTTTAACGAACCTTCCCCTATAGTTATATTTGTTGGGTTGGGTATATCATACCACAATTACTGCCAAAGTTCGTTTTATATGTAGGGTAAATCATAAAATTGGGCGATAGTTTCGTTAATTTCTGTGACATTTTCGACTGACATCGTTTGCATTTGCGCCGGGTGTAGCTTAGTTATTGCGAATGAAAGAGTGTTTTCTTCAGCGAAACTTACTTCAATAGATGTAATAATGGAGTCCAAGTTTAATATTATTAATGATCTCTTCTAGAAATCTGAAGGGCTTTTTGCTGTGTGGTTGCTCCGACGACGTTCATTGCTAACAAAGCGAGGCATTGTTGTGATGTCCTCCTCCAGTCGGACTATTTCCGCAACAACAGTAGTATCCTTTATAATATCATCTGACTTTGTGACTTTTTCGGGATTGCCACTGTGGTTCGTAAGTAATAGCAAAATTTGTTTAATGTGTTGTGAAGCGGTGACCACGTCCAAAGCATTTAACAATAGTTATTTTGATGGTTGGAGCACGTTAACAACAGTTTCCATCAAAGCCGAGTATTTGGCTATCAAAATAATGCCAAGAACAAGCGAAATTCCCTTACTTAACCCTAGAAAGATAAACATATGACATTCAGTCATTTTATTTATGTGGATTTGCTTTAGAAATAAAATGCATTACTTTTATAATTTTGTATATTTTAATAATTTTTAAACATAAATCACTGGAGCTCTACGAGAAAATAACTAAAATCAACAGCGTTCTTTTATGGGGATGAATCCCGTAAAATTATCACAAAAATAATTTTTTTTTCTTACAAATAAGATGACGATAAATATAATAATACAATTTACGTAAAAATTACTACTTACTTCAATCTAATCTTCGCTACAAACGGTCTTTTTGCACTTGGCACATCTTTGATGTTCTTTTTTTTTGACGAGTAGTTGCTGCAGTAACGTCCTTTTTTGGCTGAAGGTTTCTCTTCTTCATCCATAGGAGCCTATGCAGTAGATTTTGCCAGGATATTTTTTTTTATAGGAGAGGGGGCAAACGAGCTTGCGGCTCACCTGATTGTAAGTGACTACCGCCGCCCATGAACAACCGCAACACCAGGGGAATTGCAGATGCGTTGCCGGCCTTTTAAAAAGGAGTAGGCTCTTTTCTTGAAGGTCCCTAAGTCGTATCGGTTCGGAAAAATCGCTGGTGGTAAACTATTCCACAAGGAAGTTGTGCGAGGAAGAAAACATCTTCTAAATCGCACAGTGGTTCGTAAGCAATAGCAAAAATAAAATGTTCAATATTGCTTCGCACATGCCTTGGCAAAGTGGGAGCTTCTAGCCTTTGCGTCATCCACGGTGTAGTCAGATGAGTACTGAGTTTTTTCATATAGTCTCTGCGATTCAAAGGCTTTTCATTATTTGACAGCATGTTGTGATAATAAATGACATATGAATTAATAAATGCTATATTCAATATGCCATAAAACATGGTCATTGGCCATCTGTTGGTTTTCTTGAGCAAGGTATCGTGGAGCACATTTGATCGAATGTTTCCACGCCGCCTTTAGTCTGATTGTAAAACATAATTATTTCAGGCTTTCCGGTTGTTAGATAATATCGTTAAAAATCAGTCATCAATACTCCCAGACAATTTCCGTCAGCAGTATCTCCTTGCAGACGCTTTAAAGCATAATATGTTAGCCAGACAACTATTTTAAAACGTTTTACAAGAAGGCAGACTGATCCAAATAGTCCAACCATCCTCTAGATCCACAGAGTTACTCACACGTATGCGCGCGCATAATGCCCACGCGCTCATACCCACAGAGGCATTAAAAAATGGTTTAGGAATAAGACGTTCGTCTTTTTTTATGAGACGATGAAATTTTCTCAGTATATGCATGTGTTAAACCAATAGAAAATAACAATTGTCTATGACAGTTTCGAATCATCTTCCGCACACAAACTTTTCTGTAGGCTTCCTCTGTATAAATATATTTTATAGACAAACACTTCAGGGTGGCCTTTTTCAACACTGAAAACCTTAATATCATGCCTCTTGACTTGATATCTCCCTATCTAATATTTCAATATCTCGTCTATATTGAAAGAACTAAGAAATAAGTTACATATAAAATGAGTTTTATTATTTTTCTATGATTTTTCAAATAAAAATGTTTTTTAATTAAAGCCACAGAAAAACACAAACGTTTTTGGGAATATCAAATGACTTATATCATTTTACTCTATTCAAGTGTTGCCATTTAGTATATTTAGACTATTTTCGTATAAAATTTGTAAGGCTACCGACACAACACACAAAATATTTTTATATTAAGTTATTATTAGTAATAACTATACTATCAGTAATAATAAAAATAAAAGTAATATAGTTGAGAATAAGTCTCTTACAAAGAACTTCCTACAATAATACATTATCTCAATCATAGTACTATGTAACAATTCCATTTAATGTTATGGCAACACTAGCTAAAACAAAATGTCACTGTTTTTTTTTTACTGGCTTTACGGCTCTGGGTTCTAGCCCTTCTGAGAATGTCACTATGACAGGCCCAGAAGCCATGCCAGAATTATACAATTACAGTATGCAAATACATAACAGAGAAACAATAATCTAAAAACTCTC